CCCCAAAACCCCAAAACCCCAAAACCCCAAAACCCCAACTTTGCAAAAGTTAAATTACAAATAGATAACTTTTAAAATGGAAAACAACTTTGCACCAGACTGCTTAAGTCCATTAATAGAGAAGGAGCTGGGTTCTATCAATAACCCGATATCACCAGATCCAAAGTTTATCTTTCCTCTTCCTTCTTTAGACGAAGAAGAGTGCTTTAATACTAGTTTTAGCTATCTTGAGGGATTCGGTAAGGACGAACAGAAGGTAGAGGAAGAAGATTCCATCCCAAAGTCTGACCAAGATGTTTGTTTCAGTGAGGAAGAAGACAAAGCTGCTCTTAACTTGAAGCCAAATTTGCCTTCCGACGATGACCCTGAAACTAAGATCGTAATTCGGATGGCCAGTTTAGCTAAGGGTCTCCCAGAGCCAAACATTTCAGGAATTTCTGTGGTGAAGCCTAAGCCCAAGGCCCAGCCTAAACTTTCTGAAAAGAAAGCTAAGGTGGGTAGGCCAAGAGGGGCTAAGAAACCCAAAAAGAAAATCCAGGTGATTAACTCTCACAATCTCAAACGCCATGATGTTGTTCTTAAAAGCATTCTGAGAAGAATGAGAAGGCATCTATACCAAGAGTTTTTGCTGGTGACTAAGTTTAGAAAGACTGAGAAGCAACCGAAAGTGAGAATGACTAACCTCATAAACTGAGCTAACTCGATGGTTAACCAAATGGAGTTCCCTATCCTACCTGGCAACTTCTCGTTTTATTATCTTGCTCTTTCTTGTCCGGGAGAACTTAGAAAATTATTAAATGATACGGAGGTAGACCCGATCCACAAAGCTACTATAAATCAAGCTTCTTCTATTGTAAGCTTGATTGAGAGTGTTCTCAATAGGTTCTCCAAGAAAATTTTCACCCATTTCATGGAGATCCCTGAAATCTCAGCCCTCGTCCAATATTACTTGAGTAGCGAGGATTATATGGAAGATTATGAGGGCTTTGAGCCTTGCATTAACCTTCTTGACGAGAAATCTAAGGAAGTTATCAGTGCTTATGCAGATAACCCAGAAGCATTTTCTCTTAATCCTTATTGGATGAAGGAGCCTTTCCACATTTTTAGAAGCTAGGCTCTTGGTATAAGATTTCGTAATCTTTTATATAATAAGATTTTTCCTTCCAATAGTCAAAATTAATATTGGGGTTTTGGGGTTTTGGGGTTTTGGGGTTTTGGGGTTTTGGGGTTTTGGGGTTTTGGGG